CCGCGTCATGTAAAAGCTTAGAAATTCAAGCGTAGTGTATCACAAAACCAAGAACCCATTCGGAGAGAAAATTTGTATGAATATTAGTTTTCAGCTGCACTTATACATCATTGAAGTAAAATCTCAGGAAGATCAATAGTTTTGTACTTCGAATTTTAGTGACTTCATGTGAAAACCAGCTATTGTCCTAGAACCCAACGGCATTTTTTTCAAAATGTTGTATGATAAACAAGTAGTAAAAGTGCAAGGTAGGCCAAGATCTAAGCTACTCAATTGTGAAACTGGGAAGTCACAGATGACATCCCTGTTTTGGATTTCAGGTAAAACCTGTTGGACTGAGTGCTCGAAGACATGTGGTGGTGGAACACAAGTCACGTGTGTAAACAACACAGCTGTCACAAGAGCCTGTAACACAATCCGCTGTCCAGGTAAACGACTTGTGACATTAATTGTTGTGTTAGAGTTTATAACACCAACTGACGTAACGAAGAGCTAAGTGGAGAAACTGAGCTGAAATTTTACCGAGGTTTCCTGGGGTCAACCTTGGTTTATTTGCCATCATCATCATCATCATTAATATCTATGTTGCTTAATTTTCAGGAGATCCCGAGTGGACAAAGTGCACATTAACATGCGGGGGTGGAATGCAGACAAACATTGATAACAGCAGTATTATACAAACGTGCAATACCATGGCATGTCCCGGTATTGGATTCTTATCAGTTGTATTTCTCCTCTGTTAATTTTTTGATTACGTTAAAGTTTTGTTATTGGGTTTCCGATTGATTTGTAACAACTCACTTATTTTTTTCTAGCACGTCTTGAAATATCACTTTTTTTGTATTTTTCTATGAAAAAAAGAAAAAAATAGTCACAAAAGAAGTTCCCATCAAAAGATAACTGCAAACCGTTTTTTTTGACAATTTTACAATCAGCCTTGGGTTCCATGTAAGCTCTTTTTCTGTGCCCTAACATTTTTCTTTACTCACTTAGTTTTCTGTGCTATCCACTCTTTAGGAGAGGCAGGCTGTTTGTCAGCGTATCTCAGCTTCGAGCACGTTTACAATAATCATATTGTTTACGACGAGTCACACAACGGGAACTCTGGAACTATGCATGGTTGCGCGCGCATTGTAGATTACGGTAAATTCGGTAAGGGGCTGGAACTGGGTGAAGATGGTAACGTAACATTTGATGTGGAAAAATTTCACAATCGACCCACGGACGCCATTACCATAGCGCTGTGGCTCAATTTGTCACAAATAAATGGAACTCACGAGCTGTTCTTCACTTGTGGCACGCCTGAACTTTACAACATGGGAGATTATCATTTTGCTATTGATCGTGGTAAAGTGCAGTGGCTTGAAGAACTCCCAGGGGGTGGTACAAGGTTCAACGTTTCTTCAAGTGAGTGATCTATGTTTAACACCTTTGTGCATTTTTTTCCTAAACGTGCGATAAAAACGTCTGTATTGATGGTGTTGGGTGATATTTTACGCCTTGAAACGTTCCATTGAGGGGAAAAAACGTAGATGGCGAGATAACCACAAGATCCCACTGTAATGAACTTCTTTGCTAGTTGTCCACCGCCCTCGACCAGGTTGCCTAGGAGAAGTGTGGACGCTAATTGAGTGTCAACCCTTGCATAATTAAGTTAATTATTTGGGCTGCAGAAAGGCTTGGTTAGTGACTGCCAGATTTATTAATATTTTCATTCTTAAGTGCCGAATAACGGCTGAGAGAGCCTGGGAGAGACCCTGAGAGTATCTAGCATAATAGAATCCACACTGGTTTTACTGGGACATTTCTTTGCGTCAAAAACGTAAGTTTAGTACAATGACCAAAACTGTGGACTTCACCATCAAATTTTTCTCATTTGTTTTCAGATTCTACCATTCACAGTAACACGTGGTACCACATTGTGGGGACCTATAGAGTGTCTACTTCAAGAGCTCGTCTTTATATAAACGGCGTCCTCTCAAATGAGCTGAAACTGGCAACCATCCCAAAGCGGTCAGCGGTACCACTTCCAAATAACGGCACGCAAGCGCAGTGGAAGTGTGCGAATCTAGGCAGTTCAAAGAAAGAAAAACCGTTAAGAGGTATCATGGACGAATTTCGCATCTTTAAATGCGAACTTTTACCAGAGGAAATAATGGATTTATACAGTAAAAATACTGTCAAGAGATTCCAGATTCCACGGCGTAAATTACTGACAAGACCTGTTGATTTGGGTAATTTTATGAAATCAAAGAGATAGTAGAAAAGGAAATCTGACGTAAGAATCAAGTTATAAAGGCCGACAGAGCTTCACACATAAATATCCCGACGTTCAATGTTTCGCGTGGATGAGATATAGTGTCTAATGTCAAGAATCATCCTGCATCATAAACGGGGCGTCGAGAAGAGAAGAGACAGCAGGGTAAATATTTTTAAAAAGGCCTTGGTGTTTATATAAGATACTCGATGGACTCTGTAGGGAGAATTGAGACCATTAATCAGATCTTTTTCTCGCGCAGTCTCTATGTTTAAATTAGATCTGCCCATTTGTTCCAACTCCTTCAGGCGTAGAACATATATAGTTTTTCGCTAACATAAATTTGTTAAAGTTTTTTTGGCAGTCCTGATTGGTAATAAATCCTCGACAACGCTATGTTCATAATTAACTATCTTCTACCAACTGAGATTCTTTACAAGGCTCTGTTCTGTTTACATTTTAATCAGAAAATAGAATGAACACTCACAACTAATGCACAAAACGGGATTTGTCATGTTACTTTGAAAAAATTCTCACGGAGACGAAAATCACCGGTACTGTTCATCATTGGATGCTGGATCAGTAATGCTGGTCCTTGTATTCCAGAATTCAAATTTTGTATTTAAAGGAGCTCAGTCACGGTTTGCGCATTTTGAAAAGTTTAGCCTCGATTTTTCAAATTCGTCGTTTGTAATCCGTGTTAATCTTCTCTATCCTTAGCCATCCTTGTTCCTTGATGGTTTATCATTATCTCTTTGGTGTTTTTCTATCTTATTAAACTGTTATTTTCAGGTTTCCTACCATTTAAAGGTAATTTTGTATGTGGCCAAAATAACTCAAAATACCGTGACTGAGTTCCTTTAAGAGTTTGTATGCCATAAATAAAACGACGTACATGCGATGCTTGCGTGGTCGACAAGTAATGAGCTGATTAACCTGTCACAATCGTAACTGAGCAATAAGCCTGCATGGAAATCTAAAAAAAATGAGTCCCATAAAATGATTTTAATCGATTTGAAACCGAGGCGAAATAAACGGAGGTCCCGGATTTAGTCCCATATAACTTGAAAGTGATAGGGGTGATTGTCGGAAATCCACAGCAGGTTTTTTTTTTTTTTTTTTGGCGTAGACCCAGCTTATTTTTCTCCTAAGGGGTACCTTTAATGAGTGGTAAGCTGACACAAATAATGGGCCAAATTTAGTTCTTGACAATTAATTCATGTTTATGTTTACCTGACTTTGTACCCTGAGAGGTACTAGCAAAAAAATAAATGGAACCCACTAAGTGTATTGCTTGAAACCACCCTCTGGCAGTTGGTAATAACATAGCTTGTTTCATCTGCCCGTTTTATTTTATAAGCTAAGTAGACACACTTTTTTATCCTCTACAGAAGGTCTGTTTAACAAACAGAAATATCAGTGAAATGTAAATGTGTTGATTGGTCAAGAGATGTTGTGATCTAGGTTCTGTTTTCTTTTCCATGTCCAAGAATCATTTTGAATTTTATTGCTATTATTGTGATTTTGAGCTCCTGAACGGTGTAACGAGGTTCTACGCCAGTTCCCTTACCTTCCAACCCCCCAAAAAACAACAAAACAAACAAAAAATATCACTGCAACTATAAATAACACCTGAAAAAAGGATTGGACTGAGTGATCAAAGGCAGATGGGCAAAAAGGAAAGAGACTAGAACAGGCACCAAGGATTTCGCAAGCAAACACCTTGAAAAGTCGATCACGTGGTACAGAATATATCATGTTACGCATTCGCACGCTGAATATGAATAAAGAATTCTCAGGTGTTGCGGTCTGAAGACAAAAGTTTCCGCGATACAACGGAGAAAATAGTCTCCCCCAGGAGTTCTCAAAGTGATATTTCCCTAATGAGTGATGAACGCTTCGCTGTTACCTCTGAACAGTTCTTGAAGCGTTTTAGGCGTTAGGCCTCCTCTACTTAAGCGGCAATATGATTCCGTTTGCGGCATTCAAAGCAGATAGAGCTACTTTTGTAGTAAAGTTCTCCTTAGAGTTAATTGTCGAGGTACTTTCATAGCAAAATACTTACGTAAAAAGTGAATTGTTTAAAAAAAACTATAAATGCATACAAAACAATTGTTTTAGCTCGTGAGTTTGTAATATTGGTTTCGATTTGGTGTGTCTTGGGCCTAATGTGTGGAACTTGAGAGTTCTGTAGTTTCCCTTGAGCTTATTTCAAGGTTGAGGAAGAGTTTTGTTTTGGTTTTATTAATATCTCTCACGACTTTGACTGATGCCGTCTACAGAATGACCTCAGCTGATACAAAACGTGACAAATGTTTTAAAAATCAGCCAAAGTACACTGAACTTAGCCTGCTACACAAATATAGGAAACCAGATATGTTTATAATTTTTTTTCCTACAGGTTTTATTTTCACCATCGTACAGTGAAATACTAATTACCCCAAGATTCTCCTTGGGTGACCTTTCCATTGCCTCCGGCTACATCGCGTCCTCACGACTGAGAAGCGTTAGTTTAAGTACGTTGCCGCTCGGCGGCTTATACCAGTGAGTGAACTCAGTTTTGTCCGCGTTTTCAGGTGCGCGGTCAAACGTAAGCCACAACATTGAGGAGTCACCTGTTCTATAGCGTTCTCTTTATCTCACTTAGTACTTTGATGTAACGGGCAGCTGAAGTTCCAGACACTTATTAACACCTTGGAAGAAACAAGTCACGAAACTTCAAAAGCTATTAAAAATATATCACGCGCAAAGGAAGAAGTTCTTAAAAGTTAATTTGGCGCAGACCCAAAAGAAAATTATGGCGACGTTTAAAATATTGCCGTCTGGCCCCTGGCACCCGTTTGCGTGAATAATGTCCCGGAATTCTTCTTAAAACAATACTAAAAGCAGTTCTAACAGAAAATTAGGTCTTAAGAAATTTACCGCAGTTTTACCTAAACGATCTTTGAGTAAGAAAAAAAACTTGCTTAGAAAATATGCAATGAACTTTAAATTTTAATGAAGTAATTCAAAAAGCAAGGAGTATTTGGAGGTGTAATGAGTTAGAACTTGACTTGAATTGGGTGCGGTGTCTAATCGAATTTTGTCTATAGTCAGGTGTGGGTAAAATTACCGCATAATCAACATTCATTGTACCCTCTACTTTTGTCGTTCATTGAATGCTCCTTGACTATACAGAGTGATCGAAAACAAACATTCAGTCTATATCGAAGGGGAGTCTGATAAGTGAAAAGTAGCGGTACTAGCTTCTAATCTAGCTTGTTACATTCAACCTGTCATGTAAATAAACGGTCCCAAAAAGTGTTTCTATTTTCGTTGTTATTTGAGGGAAAAGAATATTGTCGCGCCACTAGCTGTCATCTTGCTAATTGAAAGCTTTTTTCATAAGAAAGGTTTTATCACAACCCCACTCAATTATCAGTCATAATTTGACATTTATAAGTTTCCACTTTTTCAACATGAAGGCGCCAGGAAGATTGCGAAATATCCAGCGACGCCTTTTGTCAAAGAAATAAAATAATAACTCGGTGTCGCTAACTGATGTTACGTGTTTGGCTTATCAGGGAAAAGTTAACACAGTTGTCTCCCACAGAGACTCTTTATAACAAACCTAACATGTTAAGAAAAACGCCTGCGTTGATAAAAATTTCCGACTTTTCTTTAAAGGGGGTTGTGGTCGGTTGGATCGTAATTCAAAGCGGACGATACAACTTCGTTAATGGCAAACCCAAAAGAGTTGTGACGTTACCAACCTGTGTCAATGCTACGTTTTCGCACTAAAACTGAGGATATTAAAAGCTATTGAATTTTTTCTGAAAATGCATTTTGTCCGTTTGAGTAAGTTTTTACGCCCCTATTAATCATCTATTGTACAAAGATTATTCACTAAGTTTGCACTATTTTAGTTGCTGTTTTCTCAAGCCGAGCTGGCCAGCTGAATTGAGTTAGTCAGCACACCGCGGTATTATTTGCAACGTCTGCACACGAGAAATAAATTGATTAAAATTATGCCTGACTACTTTCAAGCGACAACTGATATGAGAATTATTCTTTTAAAGTCATGCAAAACCAGAAGAAAGTTTCTTTTGGCATTATACGTGAGCGGGAGCAAACCGAATGTAAGAACTTCTCTGAAGTAAAATGTTATTCAAGAGCACATTAGCCAAAGCATAATAACCAAACATTTCAGCATTTAGTAGAGTTTATTTATTTTCTGTTTTCGACAAATACCTAAAACATTGTACATTTCTCTGCACTAACTTGTATATCTCTCTACACAGTTTTATTTTCATATTATTTACAACCAAAGGATATATATACATATATTAACATATATTTTACGACTCGAAACGATTTCACCCTTCTACTTTCTTTCCCTCTTTACATCGTCGACACTAATGAAATTCATAGGCGAATATAAGAATGTTTTGCCATAACGAAACTTAGAATTACAGACGGTGAATTTTCCTTCCACTCTGGGATCTAATAGCTTTCTTAATATTTTAACAAATAATTTATTATTAAATGTACATACTAACTTAACTATATCAGCTGCATGTATGTATTTATACTTCACAAAATGTAAGAAAAGAGAGGGCTTCTCTTTTTGCTGTTGTTTGCGCACGTTCAGTACTACCACTTAACACCACAGAAAAATAAAAATTAGGTGTTATTCTGCGCAACTTTGTATTTTTTTTAGGTCTTATACTCTTACGAGAAATACTTCAAACACAAAGCGATTTGTAAGTAAAAACAAGTTTAGTTTTTTAAAATTAGTTATTTTTAACTTACCCTAATGATGACCTAGTGTCGAAAACGTCCGGTGTTTTGAACATTATCCTTTTTTAGCCTTGTAAATAGAAATTATTTTTACAAAGCGATTTGTAATTATTTATCAATTTTTTGGTTTCTAATAGAGCATTTACAGTCTGTGCCTAGTTTACCGCTTTTGAACTGAATTCACACTACATCGAACTTGTTTTGAACTCTCCGTCTTGATTCATTTCCCTTCACTTTCAGAATGAGCGTTTTGAATATGGCTTTTTAAATCGCATCTGCGAGAAAAAGAAACCTTGCAAAATTTACACCTGTAAGGAGAATTATCTGTATGAACGTGCATATGAAACTTCAAATTAGACAATTTATTGAAAGCCTTTTGGCACAGGGTGCACTTATACGGTTTTTCGCCCGTGTGAATAAGAATATGATTTCGCAAATTACCCTTCTGGTGAAAACCCTTCCCGCATCGCTCGCAAATGAATTCTTTCTCGTCGCTGTGAGTGCGGACATGCGTTTTCAGAGTCGACGAGCGGTTAAATGCTTTTTCGCAAACATGGCATTTGTAGGGTTTTTCTTTCGTGTGGATTATCTTATGCCTGCATAGTGTAGACGACAAGCGAAAGCCTTTACCGCATGTATTACATACAAATGGCCGCGCAAATGTATGATTGGGCATCTTAAGGTGAATCGCCAAGGTGTATTTTGTCTTAAAAATCTTACCGCATTGATCGCATTGGTACGGCTGTTTAACCTCCCCGGGAATAACAAGCTTTGGGGGTGCTGCAAACGAGATTTCACCCTTTAAAACATCATAAGATGCTGCACGCGGAACGCTTATTTCTTGTCTCCAGTTGTAATGTTCGCCATTTCTTCTGGTGTACATATCACTGAAATCTCCACGGTTCTTGAAGTCTTGGAAGCTGCTAGCCATTGCACCAGGCCGTGCACCTAGATGGTAATAAGGACTGAAAATGGAGAATTGATTGCTGCTTGCAAAGGCCATAAACTGGTCGTTGAGGGCTAGAGCTCTGGCAGCATTCAAGTTGTTTTCTTGATATTGGGTAGCGTTCAAGGGGTGAATCCCAGGCTCATGTAGAAACGGTTTGTATTCTGGGTCATCTTGAACGATTTTCAACGCCGTGCTCTTTTCATCCGCTTCTGCATAAACCAAGACAAAGCCATTGCGTTATTTTCTAAGAGTTACAAAATTCTTTGTTTTCAAAGTTTTTCGTGTTTTATTCAAGGGTTTGCCGGTTGCAATATTCGTTTGCTCATCTAGTGTCCATCTACACACTGACATCACAATTTTACAAACCGACTCAGGAATCATTTTGTTTGACCCAATTAAAGATTCAGAAGAAAATAAGCAAAGAAGAAGCGAAATTATAACTTTAAGGATGGCTTAACGCTAATGTGAAATACTTAGCCGATCCGGACAGATAATACAGCAATACTAAGTGATCGAAAAAGCTCTCCTACTGATGATAAGACAAAGTTTGATTTTCAACAAACCTCTTTCTTGGGAGTCGGTGATCTTGACGCTTGTGTTCATGGAACCTGGTAAGGATCGCCTCTTTAACAGGAATGACTTCGGCATTTTAGGGCAAATTTCTCTGACTTGCCTTGTTTACCCCGTTTACCGTTACGGGCGGCCACTGCTATGAGAGATGACCGGGTTGAACTCTGCTTGCAGGCCGGCTAAATGAGTCTGAAGAGAAAACGAACTTGCAATGTGTTTAGTAGTAACCGGCTGGCTGGCAGTAAATGCTGTGACTCTTCGTGAGCGTGATTGTGCTTTCGCTGTTTTATTGTGAGGCGAAGAAAATGGTTTGGAGAGTGACACGTGCAGTGTTGGCCGAATGACTTGTTAACACTCAACGCACGCGCTTCTTTTATTGTGTCCTCTTTGAATAACTGGAGTACATCCAGCGATGAGTCGATTGAACTAATCCAAACAACAAGTGTTAAGTGCATTGTTCGCCAATAGAAAGCCCGGACTTGAAACAAAACCCATTGTTGATTGCACCTGTATTGCCATAATAAGAAATAATTGAAGGATTCCCACTAAACAGGTATGAGTCGGGTGCGAAACCCAAATTAAGTAAGTTTACACCGGCAAACTCAGTGTAAACGATAGTGTTAAAGCAATTTTATTTTCCTGCCCGGTTATACAAAGTGAACCCACTCGCTGTCTGGCGACATGTTTTGTTTTTTTGTTATCAAAAATGATTAAGTCAAGACATTTGCCTTTTGTGGTTTCTACTTCTACATCATATTAGTCGCCTAAGTACACTCGTAATTTACTGCCCAAGGAGTAAATAACCGACATTTTAGTAAGAAAACAGTTCAAACTTCCGCTCCCGAACAAAACGTTACAAACAAAAACTTAAAGTTAAGACATTCAAACTTTATCAGTTTCTCTGTGCTAGAAACAAATCCGTAATTTATGGTCGTCGATATGGTCTCTGGCCATCCATCATGTGTGTTTCGAAACAACGCTTAAGCCACGGTTCTCAAAGAGACCAATAGAAAACGTGTGTTTCTTTTTGTTCCGTTGCTTTTGAGGTACGCTAGCTTTTATTGTTTTTATTATTTCTATCTTGTTGTCCCACACTGTGAATTTCTTTCACGGCACGCTAACTGTTATAGATCTCGCCTTCCTTTGTAACTCTTGTACTTGTTAAATCTAATTTTAGAGCTCCCTTGGGCAGTGAATTAAAACTGCTTTTCTCAGTGGTCCAAAAATTGACAGTTTTGCACAGCTTATGCGGAAAACTTGTTAGCTACCGGCAAGTTGTTGAGATCAACGACAAAGTTTTGCGGCTTTTCTTTGTGCATCCGCATTTAATTTTTAAAAAATTTTCTCGAAGGAACTAATTGATAAGACGTCCAGCGTTGACGCTGTTGACCGAATCCTCCAGGTCTCTATTGGGCATCGTTTTTTTAGCAATTTCATGCTGGGATTTAATTTTTTTCATTTTTTGACAGACGCTAAAACCTGTTCAGAGCTACGTCCGCATTTGTAGGCTTTCTGCAAGTGTCCTAACCAGGTTGCCAACTGAAAAGCAGCCATAGTTTTTTTTTTTCCGTTTCTCTAACTCGCACAGCAAGCGTCTAATTGTCTTATTCTCCAAATTGTAATTGTCCTCGAAAGAAATGAACTGACGCTAATTATGGCTTTCCAAAACAAGAATCGGGCCGTGGAACATTTTAACGACGTCATTTAGGTAGATGTTGGAAAATTAATGAGCTAATCATTTTGCGCATGTATACACACAAAAAAATTCATTTACTTATATTACACATGTGCATGTTCTAAGTCAGCTACTGAACCGGAGATTGAAAATAACTCACGCATACCAACTTTAGTTTCGAAACTTTAGCACAAGGGCTAATTTCATTTCTCGTAGGCGCCTCTTGTTTGTCGCAGCATGCAAATGACATGTCAGAAATGTCGCTTCATTTCTTTTCATAAGCTTGTTTAAGTCAGACATGGTTTTGTCTGAGTATTAAAATCTATAAGTAACGCGTCGTCTTGTACAAATTTTGTTTTCGTTTTTAAACCGGGTGTTCCTTACAGACGAGAAGCTAAACCCGTCTCCAATTAGCACTAGCTCAAGTCATTTTGACCATTACTCATCTTCGGCATTTTCACAGAATGATAAAAATAATAACACTAATGAAAAAAGCTAGATGCTACGAAATACTTTATAATGCTACTTTATAAAATACTCATGATTGTGGAAATGGGATGAGCTCAAAGTAGGTTTTGGGCTACGTTTAGCCACTGTAGTTCTTGGGTTTAACTGAGCTTTGTGCGTGAGAGGTATATAAATCTGTTTTAAAGTCTTAGGTAGAGTTCTAATCGCAATGAAGATTGTTTGAACAGATAAAAGTAGGGTTTAAAATAATCGCTACGGTGGATTTAAGGGAATTACGTGATATTGATTATATAATATAAGGCAATCTCCTTATATTGTGATATCCGGGCGGAACAACTTGGCTTAAATTGTATGTCTAAATTGTGTATATACTGATGAAACACCTTGACCTGAACAAAATATATGATAGAATAAATTTCTCTATATCCTCTTTAATTCCTTAAACGCCCACGTGCTGTTATGTCGCGATCACGCGATCTCTGAGCAAACAGAACGCCTGATCGCAGCCTAATATTGACTCAGTGAAATCGCGAATATTCGCGAATTTCGCGAATTACAGTACTCGTTAATTCAAAGAAATTAAGTACACGTTGCGAACATTAAGACCAGCAATTAGGTAAAATCCACCACCTGACATAGCTTCCAAGGAAAAAAAAGGACGGTAATAAAAGTTGCGAGCTGGGATCAGAGTGTCAGACCTCCAAACATAAACAGGCTCTCTTGCGAAACGATATCAAGGAGTGAACTCCGTCGGTTTAAAGAGAGAAACATTTCTCACTGGGCTTGAAATTATTCTAATTAGTTCGGACGATAAAAAATGGAGTGCGTATATTAACTCGTACCTTCAATCAAAGACACCTGTTGTAATTACAAAACGTTTCTATTGCCGAATAGCTGTCACCTCCAGACAAAACTACGTCTGCCTTAAACAGGCGCGTGGAAAAAGACAATGAGCCCATACTTTGACGGCACGTCTTTTGTAATATACGTACACTTAAACTGCAGCCAAACATGTATTAACATACCAATATTGTGTTTACTCGCCAAATTAAAAACGAGACAAAATGGTTATAAATCATCTGGCCACGGTGTAATTTAATGACAACGAGAACGAGAAATATTTGAAATTCTCATTAATTTGAAGATTATTTTTTGTAGCTTGAGTACAACACGCAACACACGTTTCTTATCCCGCGTGTGTTTTCGTGCTGAACTGACTCAGTAGTTATTGAAAACAAGCTCACTCTTTTTTCTTTTTTTTTCACCCGTTCGTGAAAAACTTGCACATTTGCTTCTCATTTACAAAGCCAGGTTTTTTTGGACCGTCAGCCAGTTTTTCTTTTTTGTCTGAAAAAACGGGAGTTTGTGTTCATGATAGATGGACTAATCCGCAGTCGCACTTTTTCCCGATGCAGATATTGGAACGACAACAAACGATTGAAACAAAATGTAATGTGTTTTTTCAACTTTAAATAAACAAAGCCACGAGGTGATAATAAAGAGAATAAAAAAGGACGAAAGTTAATTATTAAATGTTTTGTAGAGGGCCTCCTGTTGAACCAAATTAGTTATCATTCTATAGCAACTCTGTGTCAGATAAATAACAGACATATCTACCTACTTTACATGCTAATAACCAATCTTACGGTACTTTCGTGTTCAAAGGACTGCCTGCTGGCGTGCTGTTAAACCTCTGAGGAGTCTTTGTTATTGAGAAGTTTTTTTTATGTTTTAACAACAGTTATCGCAGCGACTATTTCGTTTTAAAAAAGAGGAAGAAGAAAAGATCTAAGGCCGTTTCTGAATGCGGAGCTGAAATGAAATTGTCCATGACTCTTAATTATGATAGATTGTTGAATTCTCGCCAAAATCGTCGAAGCTTAATAAGTAAATATGGAAGTCTACATGAAACAATTGACCAATTTTAACCGAAATGCTATTGTAATTTGTATATGTAGGAATTGAACCACCATGCATGTTCTTTGACCTCAAATCCATCTTTTGCTTTTATTTAAGATTCTCATGTATTTCTAGATTGTTCATTGTGTATTTTACAACTCCATCTGAAGCGAAATTCTTTTGTTTATTTAGGTACTGAGTATTTTAAACTTATTTAGTAAAGCAAACCGAATGCTATCCATTTCCATGTTCAACTTCTTCTCATCAAATATGTTCTCTCAGCCATATTTGAAAGGGTGCAAACCCCCTGCAAACATAAAGCTTTGTAGGGTGAGTTTCGGCGTACCTCAAGGTTCTATCATGGGGCCACTCATTTTCAATCTCTACGTGGCTGACCTTCAGTCATATGTACGCGGAGTTAAATGTCATCAA